CTCCTGGCCGACACGGAGGACTGACCCCCAGGCAGTGCCTTTTGGCAGCTCTTCTGTGCTTGAGGGAGAAGCTCCTGTCCACAGATCTCTGTGCCCATCACTAGATTCTCTGAGTCACACCCAAGAACCCTGGATACCTCAGTGCTATGCAGAGGGAGGACAGTCACTTAGACCTGGTGGACAGGAAGATAAGGTAGAAAGCGTGACAACTTCCCCAAAGACATCAAAGCCCCACACATTCATAATAGAAGCTACTGGGCAGTTCCAGGGGCTCAAGCACTGCCACCCTTCTATCTTAAAGGTCATTTCCTAAGATGCTGAGTGCCAACCCTGTAGCCTAATGGGTTAATCATATGCAAAGCTCACCTGGTCCTTTTAAGAACCAGGCAGTGTGTAATGCAATGTTGTCTGCAACAGCAAAATCTCTGAAAACCATCAAGGCCATGACCATCTGGCCAGTCAGCTGACATAGTTCTTAATTCACATGTTTTTATTGTTAAAAATTTATCTTCAGAAGCTCTCCCCAGGTTCTGATAAGCATATATATTCGGTGACAAATGGACAAGTCCATTCAACCTTAGAAAAGAGGACTTTCTTTTACTGTTTTTTATTAATAGCAATCAAATTATTTTTATTTATTGATTTAAAGTGTGTGTGTGTGTGTGTGTGTGTGTGTGTGTGTGTGTGAGAGAGAGAGAGAGAGAGAGAGAGAGAGAGAGAGAGAGTCTCACTCTGTCACCCAGGCTGGAGTGCAGTGATCTTGGCTCACTTCAACCTTGCCTCCCGGGCTCAAGTGATTCTTGTGCCTCAGGCTTCCAAGTAGCTGGGATTACAGGCACGTACCACCATGCCAGGATAATTTTAGTAATTTTAGTAGAGACAGGGTTTCGTCATGCTGGCCAAGCTGGTCTCGAACTCCTGACTTCAAGTGACCCACCCACCTCAGCCCCCAAAAAGTGCTGGGATTACAGGCATAAGCCACTGCACCCTGCCAAAGTAGTTAACTGTGGAAAACTAAACGTAACATGCAAGTGACCATCTTGACCACTTTTCCAGCGTATAGTGCAGTAGTGACGAGTACATGCACCTTGCTGTGCAGCCACCAGCCATCTCCAGAATGTTTTCACTTTGCAAAACCGACAGTCTGTACCCATGCAACAACAACTCTCCATTTTCTTTTATTTTTGAGCTTTAAAAATCCTATTAATAGAACATGGTATATGGTAATTCACTTTCCAGCTCAAAAATTTCTGGAAACATTATGCATAGAGTCTTAAAAAGCACCAGCACCCTCCTCCGCCCCACCAGAGAGTTCACAGGAAAACGGTGCGGGAAGAAAGGGACAGAACAAAGAGACAGAGAAGCAAAGGTAAATGAATGTTTCATGAGAAAGAGGCCTGGGAAGTGCAGACTCAGGGAGGCAGCATTTCAACCATGAAATCACCTTGGGTCATCCCCAGCTCTGGCCTTATTAACTTTTACAAAGGAATCTTCCCAGCACCAGGGTGATGAGCAAGACTCATTTTGGGACCCTGAGCCACTCTCTCAGTGGATATGACCCCACCAGGCAGCATGCGTGAACAGCCACTCCCCTCTGAGCGAATTGCTAAGTAACTTCTAGAAAAAAAAAAATCGTCCTCACTATTTGCGGGGTGGAAAATAGAACCATTCTGAGACCATACTTTAATTCAGATTTCGAAATGTAACCCTGAATTTGTGAGTGTTTAAAGGACCTCCAGGGCCCATCTTCAAACAGACACACACCAAGAATAACTTCACAGGGAAATATTTATTTCATGAGACTCTTGCAGGCTGCCCTTTGCCCTTTACCAACAACAGATGAATTCCTACCCACAGAGAAAAGCCACGGCCCTAATTTTTCAAGCAAGCAGACCAAGGCTATGCTGAGCAGAACCGGAGAACAAGACTCCTAGGCTGGCATCAAGAGGGCCAGAGCCCATAAATGCCTCTCTGAAGACACCTGTGCCCCCAGTCACCCTGTGCTGGAGAGCCCAGCAGGTCTAGGATGCTGGGACCAGTCCTAAGGCAGTTCTGCACTGGCCCGCCACAGAAGGAGGCCCACATCCATGATCATGTAAGTGGGGGAGGGAGCAGGGCATCCTGAACACGCTCCCAGTTCCCCAACGTGCCCAGATCCTTGGCCTCTCTTACCCCTAGAATGGGGAAAGGGGCCATGGAGGCATGGTGAGCTTACCAAATAAATATCGTGGACCCAAAGAGTTTTGCAGAGAGCAATTTATTAGACAGAGAGAGAGAGAGAGAGAGAGAGAGAAAGAAAGAGAGTGCTCCCACACTCCCATGAGAGGAGATCCAAGCGAGGAATCCGTATAGGTAAGGAGAAACGGGATTTTAACCCTGAAGTTATTCCTGCCCCATTCATGTTCTTGTCCAATCAAAGAACTCTTTCAAACTTCCTCTGGAGTGATTGATCTTTGACTTTGATACTGGATTGGCTACTTGGTCCCCAACAGAACCCTCTCCTCCCAGAGGTTTCAGCAGGCCTTTTGAACAAAGACGCTCTCCTGGATTTCTCTACTTAGCCCATATGCGGGAAAGTCAGACAAAGAACTTTACATTTGAAACCCCTCTGGTTCCCAGATGGAGGCAAAACCATGCCTCTCGTGGACCCAGAAAGAAGTTTTTTTGTTTTTGTTTTTTCTTAATACAGTCCTGCAATCAGCCAGGGCTTCAACATCTCTCTGCATCCTCCTTGAAACGGGGTACAGTCTTCCTACTTATCATAATCTAATTATCATAATCTAATTTTAGGAAATAATTGTGCACACACACAAAAGAAAGGCAGAGAAACAAGAATGTTCTCTGTAGGATTGTTTACGGAATCCAATTATTGGAAACAACTGAATTTCCAACTGTCTGTGGCAGATTGAAAACGGGATTTTCTAGGGGAGAAGCTTCCCAAAGACAAATAGTCTCTAATGGTTTTGATGACACGAAAAAGGATTCACAATTGAATAAGTACACGTAAATATAAAACAAAAGTATGTCCAGTGTGAAGGTAAGCAGGTAGGTAGACAGATCTGTCTTTCTCACCAGTATGAAGTTTGTATTCTAAAAATCTGTGGTTGGCTAGCAAGATCATGAATATTATGGGATTGGGAGAAAAACAATTAAATGACCTCCAATATGCTTCGAAAATACAGTAAGTGTAAGTTCATTTATTGTATTTGCATTAAATGGAGTAACCCCCTGGAGGGGGGGTTACTATAGAAATAGCATCAGAGCTGGCACTCTGCCTGAGGCAGTGCTGGGAGGGACTGAGAATCCCACAGGTAGCCAGGCCCACACCTCATACTGGCCAGGAGCAGGAAGGCCTCACTGGAGAGTTTGGGGGAATGAGTGACAACTGTTCCTCATGTCCCCATGACCTGGGTGAACTGCTGAGTCTGTCCCGCAGACTATAGCAGAGTGACAGATGAATAGAGTATGCATATACAGTATTTTGCCTGTCAGTGAGGCTAGGGGACTGCTGGCAGTAGCACCAGAAGTAGCCCCCATAAGCCAGCGATGCTCACATTCATTTAGTACAGATTTAATGACAAAGGCCTAGAGCAAACACCATTTGTGGGTAATTAACATGGTCAACCTCCCCCCCCCCCCCCCCCCCCGCCCCACCAAGTAGGCAGAAGTCTTGCATGTGGATGATCAAAGGTTGATTTCTGGAGAAATAGGTAAACAAACTTATCTAGATAAATTCCTTTGCACTCCCTTGTCATCTGCCCTTTGACATTAGCTCAAGGTAAGAGGATTAGGCTCCCTTCAGCAATAACCCTTTCCCGAAGCTTTTGCAAAAACTTTCAGCCTTCCAAGAAGGTTTGTGTCTTTCCTATAATTTTTCCCACCACCCTGACTGATCTCCTACAGTGGACTGCGAGTGGACAGCAACATGAAAGTTCCTATAGGCCCCATGAGGTCATGAGGCCCTGCAGGGATGATCTCAGGCCAGCCACCTTCCCTGGAGATGTGTGGTCAGGATGAAGAGGCTGTAGCCTGCAGGGTCCATCTGGGCCCAAGCTTGGAACCCCTGAAAGGCCAAGACAAGGAAGCCTGTCCAGAGAAGACATTACCAAGGAGGCAGGTGGCACACATGAATTCAAACCCCTTTTTTTCAAGCCACCCTGAGGTTACCCCCAAGTATCATCATGTGAAAATAAGGCAAGTAGAATACTACCTGAGTAAGCCTTTATCCAAAGACACAGACTTCTAAGAGGAGCTACTTAATCAGAAAAAGATCATGTCAATGGTTTAGAATGAAATTCTACCACGTCCTACCCCACAGCCACTACGCAGTGTAATGGGATCTGCCAATGACAAATAAATATGTTCTCTCAAATTTCTACATTTTTTTTTTTTGCTCACTTCTGAGTTGTACACATTGTCTTAAAATTACAGTAGGCAAAACTGTACTTAGTGAGGGACTTCATAGCCCAATTATTCACTGTGGGCTTATGGGAAATTTTTACTCATTTTCTTTTTGGTTTACCTATGTTTTCTAAATATTCTACGATAGACATGTATTTTTTTATACAAGTAAACAATTGCTTGGTTCATTATTACTTTTTATAATTTTGAGACAAGGTTTCACTCCATCACCCAGGCTAGAGCACAGTGGTACGATTTCGGCTCACTGCAGCCTTGACCTCCTGGGCTCAAGTGATACTCGAGCCTCAGCCTCCCAAGTAGCTGGGATTACTGGCTCACTCCACCATGCCTGGGTAATTTTTAAATTTTATTATTTATTTATTTTTATTTTTATGGACATAGGCTCTCCCTTTGTGGCCCAGGGTGGTCTTGAACTTCTAGCCTCAAGTGATCCTTTCTCCTCAGCCTCCCAAAATGCTGGGATTACAGGCGTGAACTACTGTGCCTGGCCTGCTTAGTTTATCTTTATTTGCCTTGGCTGGGTATCTGTTTTCCATCAGTGCTCCCACCCTGCAGGGAGCACAGGAGGGTGAACTCACCTGGCAGTGGGCAGCCCACGATCTCCATTCTCATGCAGATGCTCCCGTTATCAAACCAGGACTGCGGGTTTACCCGGATGTAGCGGGCCACCATGGGGACGGGCAGCTCATTAAGAACGGGGATCTCCTTCTCACTGTTTCCTTGAAATATCTATTTATGCTCAAGGGAGAAAAGGAAAATCTTTTAGTGCTTAATTACCAAGGGATAAAGAGTCAGAATTCATTCATTCAACAAAACCTTACTGAGGAAAATCTAATGTGTGCTGGGCACTGAAGAGAAAAAAATAAATGACTCAGGCCTGGATCCTGCCCTCAGAGCCTCCATCTAGTTGGTATGGTGGCAGAGGGGCTCTGGTAATTATACACTGTAGGAAAAATCTATTGGTGTCATGGCAAAGGAACAGCTAGAGAGCTTTGGGATTTCAGAAGATGGAGAGGACCAGGCAAAGTTTTGAGGAAGAGGGGCGGTTTGAACTGGCATTGAAGGAAAGCTATTTAGATCTATAGGGATGAGAGGGTATCCAGAGAAAATGGACAATGAGTGCAGAAGCCTAAACATGGGATTCATAGGCAGAAGAGCAGCTGATTCACTTTTACAAGTACACAGGACTTTGTCTAGGGGATAAGAATGAGAAATAAGGTTGAAAAAGGACGCCACAGTCAGACAAGTCAGACTGTGTAAGACATTGGATACCATGCTAGGAATATGTACTTGAGAATCTGAGGAAGACAGTGACAGGATCAGGACTGACTAAGCTGGGGCTAATCATGGAACTAAAAGGCCAAGGTCATGAAATGAAGTTAGGAAACTCTTAAGAACAGCTGCAAGTGGCCCCAGCATGCCTTAAGCATGCAACCTCCAGGGCTAACTTGCAAATTACGTAAGAGGCTGTATCCCTCGAGTTCCCTGATGTGAGTAAATAAAGGCTGAATTTTATATTAGCTGTAAATGTGTGTCACTTGCTGCTGGGCTTCAGGGCATGGGAGGGGGGTCTCTGTCCATGAAACTTTCATAGTAAGTTTGAGTTGACACAAAATATGTAAATCTTCAAGCAATTGATCGTACATTGCCTCTCTTTGCAGAACCCCACCCAGCCAGGCACCAAAGGCATGGTTAGATGGAGGAAGAGACTCACCATGTCTCCAGATCCATTCTTAACAGTGACCCATGTATGGCTGTCATTGCTCACCATGACCTTATAGGATGTCACCCAGTCACTCCTATGAGAAAATAAAACAACATTAGGACTACACACTTTAAAATGCTTATTCTTCCATGAAGAGGTTTAGAGATGAGGAGAGCAGGTGCCAGAAGTAGACAGCACTGGGTCAAACTGTGGCTCCAGAACATTTACAGTTCTGTGACCTCATCCAGGCAACTAACTGACCCATCTATACGACTATTTATTCATCCATAATATGGGAATCATAAAAGCATCAACCTTAAAGAAGTAATGTAAACCTTAATTTAATGCCCTTTAATCACTTAGAACAAGGCCTAGCCCCTAGTAATCACTAACCATTGATCACACACATAAAGATATACAAATATGTATGTATCTTTTTGCATTGAACACCTACATCACACCCAAGAAACTTAATGAAAAAAAAATCTCAGTAAAGGTTGCAAACTGGTCTAAAAATTTTGATTGATAAGTTGATTTGGGAATGTAACAAATAAAATCTTACCAATCACAAAAATAAAATCTTGAGTCTCTAAGAGATACTGGGTTTCTCCTTGGCTGTCACAGCCACACAGACAATCCCCACCCTAGAAAGAATCAAATCATGGCTGGACGCAAAGCCATACCCTGAGCATCTCACCCAACTGCACAGAATTTTGGGGGAGGGGGGTAAAAGAGCCATAATTTAACTTTCCAGAGTGGAGGCCAACCTGATAGACTTGCCAAGAAAAGTGACCTGCACATTTTTTTTTTCTTTCTACCTCAGTTGTTTATAATATTAGTTGTTGAACAATATAGGGAAGTCTTCCTGAGTACTCCTACTTTTAATTTTTAAAATGTTGGAACTAAGCACCAACTTACCAGTTTTTTGTTTTGTTTTGTTTTGTTTTGTTTAGAAAATTCTGCCCATTGAAGTATGGAATCGTTTTCCTACTGTAGCCCCTGCTTGCCCTCAGTATTCAGATCTATCCGAATAAAGTTTTGAGTTTCCTGTGTAAATTTATACTGCCCAGTAGAGTTCATTTTGAAAGAACAGCTGGTTCTGTGATTCTGGTTCATCTGACTGACTTGTTGTGAAAATGATTCTTAGGTGCTTTTCTACATGCTTGGAAATAAACCCTCATCTCACACTTTCTCTTCTCCTCTCTTGTTCCCACCAGCTCTGTCTGAATACCTACTAGAAGCCAGAATTGATCACGAACCACATTCCTCCTCTGACAGTCACCAGTTAGAGCCCAGGGCTATGGAGAGAAGTGCATTAGCATTGCCTTAACAAGAAAAGCAGCTCAGCCACAGCTCCTTCCTTTGCCCTGGAAAATTATCAACACCCAGAATAGCAACCTGTTTCCCACATTCAAATAATTTCCAAATGACTTGTAACTACAGTTCCCTTTGCTGTCTGTTTTTCAACTGATAAAGCCTGAGGTTGATACAGCAAGACAGACAACAGAGGCAGGAGCTGTATCCTCCCGAGATAGAGGCGATGAATGTAGGAAACCTCTTGGTCAAGAGAAGCACAAGACAATAAGAGGGGAGTAGAGAAAAAAATAAAAATAAGTCCTCCAAAGAAAAGGAGAGGGTGGGGGGAAAAAGGAAATGAAAGCCAAGTAATAATTCTCAAATTAAAAAAAAACAATAAGAATACCAATCCCCGACTTAGGTTTGAATCGTAACTGTTTCTATGGCTCAGAACTATCTTCTGAACTGCAAAACTACATCATATCCTCCTGCCTACTTGACCCCTCCACTTAATGTCTCTGTGACATCTCAAATTTAACTTGCCTTAAAAGAACAGATTCATGCCTTCCGCTCTGCATGCTGATGTGGCAGTCCACCAGAGGCCCTACCCCAGGAAAGGTACTGCCATCCACAAAGAGAGGACAAAATCCCAGTGTTACTCTGGGTGTCCCACCTTCTCTTCCTCCCTGATATGCTTTGGCTGTGTCCCCATCCAAATTTCATCTTGAATTGTAGCTCCCATAATCCCCATGTGTCATGGGAGGGAGCCAGTGAGAGGTCATTAAGTCATGGGGTGGGTTCTTCCCATGTCATTCTCATGATAGTGAATAAGTCTCAAAAGATCAGGTGGTTTTGTAAAGGGCAGTTCCCCTGCACATGGTCTCTTGCCTGCTGCCATGTAAGACATGACTGCTCCTCTTTCACTTTCTGCCACGATTGTGAGGCCTCCCCAGCCATGTGAAACTGTGAGTCCATTAAATCTCCTATTTTTTATAAGTTACCTAGTCTCAGACATTTCTCCATAGCAGTATGAATACGGATGAATACCCTCCCCTACACTGAATCTATTATCAAGTTCTGTCAATTTTAACTCTCGCATTTTTCAAGAATGTATCCAACTCTCTCCACTTCCCTGCCACCACCCCAGTTCACTCTCTCAGGCCCCTGGCATCTAAATTTCTCCCCCATCTATCTTGCAGTCAAGAGTTTACTTTTCCAGTGAAATATTATCATGTCATCCCTGCTTAAAATAGCTCTTAAGTAGTCTTATATTAAGTATTGTGCTATCTTAGTATTAACAAAATCCTCATCACATTCTATGAGACCCTTGCTTGCCCTGCGTTTTCTGTGTTCTTTCTTTCCATTCCTGATACTGTTTGTATCCTCTCTTGCCCCAGGGCCTTTGCACATACTGTTGCATCTGTCTGAACTCCTCTTCTTCTCTCCTCCTCTGTCTGTCTTTAAATTATTCACACTGCAAACCAAATTTTAAAAAGCCCATCCTAACCCTTCAATCTAGCCAATTTCTTTTCTTACATGCTTTCTTTCATAGTTTAATTCAGTTTTTAATTTCATACTCGTTTTTGGAATTACCTGATACTGTCATTCTCTCCCACTGAAGTGTAAGCATCTCACAGACAGAAGAAAGAAGGCCCATGGCACCTTGAAGACAGAAAGGATGCTGGTGCCCCAGGGGAGCAGAGGAAGGGACAGGAGAGCAGGGCCAGGGCATGGTGGGCTTTTAGGTAATTTGATAGGAGTGGAACTTCCTCTGTCAGGCAGTAGGGAGCTATGCCTCTTGAAGTTCCCCAAGGGTGGTCAAAGTACCTGAAAGTCAATTAGAAAGTCTCCTCTGCTTCCAAAAATTCTACCATAATAAAATGCTTGCCAATCAGAGGCTCTTTGTTTTTTTGCTGTTTGGAAACTAACTCCCCTTTCTACCACCTTTGAACTGCTGATGAAATAAGCATGATCATAGATGGGTCTTCTTGTTATAGGTTGATGAAGCCTTTGTTCATTTTGTTTCAGACTTACTTTCATGTTTGACAATTCTTATCATTGCTTATAATTATGCTTTATTCATTCTCACTGCTTTCTACTATTCTACTCTGAGAATAAACACCACAATTTATTTATCAGTTTCATTGCTGTTGGGTATTTGAGTAGTTTCCAGCTTGGATTATGAGGAATAGTGCTTCTGTGAACATTCTTGCATGTATCTTTCAGCGAATTTATACAAAATTCTGTTTGGGGGAATGCTGGGAAGATGGCCACCTAAGAACAGCTCAGGACTTCAGCTCCCAGTGAAAGTGCAGAGGGTGAGTGGACGCCGCATTTCCAGATGAACTCTTATTGCCCACAGACCAGGAAATACCCAGGCAGAGGGGTCGCCAGCATCGCAGTCCCAGCCGGTGTGGCTGTTTTGGCCCCCCGTGGGGCTGATTCCGCCCGCGCGGCTGCTGTGACCACGCCCTGTTGCTGTGGTTCTCCGAACAAAAGCCACTGGTCTGGGAGCCCTCTTAGCTGGCGATCGGAGCCCTGAGACGGCAGAGTTGCCCATTCATCTGAAATAGCAAGCCAAGCAAGGAGACTCCTAGGCAAAAAATCCACCAGGAGCCAGCGCCGCAGTTCGAGCCGACTCAGCGAGTCGCAGCACAGGAGATCCCGGCGCCTTTTCAACAAGCGACTGGAATGCGGGGTCGTTCAACTTAAAAGAAAAGACTCTGAGCCAGGGAGCCAGGTGATCAGGCTCGGTTGGTCCCACCCCTCCACCCCCAACGACAACGAAAACAAAAACAGTATTTGGAAACCCTCTGGGTTGAGCCCTTCAAACCAAGCACAGCTGAACCGGGATGGTCCAGCTCAGTGGGGGAGGGGCTTCCGCCATTACTGAGACTCTCCACCGCTACTTGCTGAGGCAACCTGCCACAACAGAGAGAGTCCGCCATAACAGAGGCGGGGCCACCATTACTGAGACAGTTCTAACTACGCCCATATAAACAGGACTGTAGGGAAGAGCTCAGGGCAGCTGGGCGGAGCCCATAGCAGCTCAGCAAAGCCCCTGTGGGCAGGCAGTGGCTAGGCGTGCTGCTAGCTGGGCGGGTCAGACCTGAAAGAAAAATCAAAAAAGGCAGTAGTGCAATGGAAACTCATAAAGCTCCAACTCCCTGGGACAGAGCACCTGGCAACAAAAAGTGCTTTATGAGTTCAGCTGCAGCAGACCTAAACATACCTGCCCAGCAGCTCTGAATGAACAACGGAGCTCACAACTCAGGACTTAAGCCCCAATATAAGATAGACTGTCTCCTCAAGTAGCTCCCTGACCCCCACAGATCCAAAGACTCACCTCATAAAGGAGAGAACGGACTGACAGTAGGCGAGCATCCTTCTGGGACAAAGATAGCAGAAGAGGAAACTGGCAGCAACCCTTACTGTTCTGCAGCTGCTGCAGGTTATCCCCAGGCAAGCAGGGCCTGGAGAGGACCTCAGCAGTCCTACAGCAGAGGGGCCAACTGTTAGAAGGAAAGCTTAAAAAAAAAAAAAAGAAAAGAAGAAGTAACTTCAGCATCCATGAACTAGAAGCTCACTCAGAGACCCAAACTGAAAGACAGTAATTACAAAGACAACAGGTGGATAAACCCACAAAAATGGGAAGAAACCAGCGCAAAAAGGATGAAAACTCCCAAAACCAGAACACCTCTCCTCCTAAAAGGGATCACAACTCCTCACCAGCAAGGGAACCAGACCGGATGGAGAAGGAGGGTGATGAAATGGCAGAATCAGACTTCAAAAGGTGGG